GCGCACTGAGCGGGGCGTCTCTCAAGGGCTTGGCTCCCCCTGAGCTGCAGGGCCCCATCCGGCCACTGGCTCCGGGTGGATCCAGCCTCTTGCGCTCGGCGTGGAGAGCCGTGTCATCACGTAACCCCACCGTCGGCCACCCAGCCTCTGCTGCCGTCCCTGGCCCACCCCGTGGGCAGCAGAGACCAGCTCCTCCTGCACCTGGGATGAGGGAGCCCCTGGCTCTGGTGATGGGTGCTCAGGTCTTTGCGGGTGATCCGTGGGGGACCTGAGCAGGGACCTGTAGGGGACCCACCGGGTGCCACCATCTGGGCGAGCAGAACCAGCCTGCTGGGAACAGGTCCCACCCAGCCCCCCAGAAGCACTCGCCCCCCAAATACCATCTCTACTCCCCAGCGAGGGGCACAGGGGTCCCGGGGCTCCCAGTGGGTGTACGAGGGCTTTTGGCCCCGAGACCCATGCCCTGCTCAGCCCCTCCCATATTGAATGGCCACCCCAAAACACCAGTGTCCCCATTTGTCCCCCACTTTGTTCTGCCGTGTGCTTCCTTCTTGGTGTAACTCTGAAAGCTATGTAGCTCCTTTTTACTGTAGATACCGCTGTGATCTTGTTTTCTCAGCGTGTCCTTCCAGATGATATATATATAAATACCTATACATAATATATATAAGGGTTTGTCTGGTCCCTGACCTTTTTGGGTTCATTCCCCCTTGCATTCTTGTCCAAGCGGTGCCGTGTGGTTCCCCTGGAGGTGGTCTGGCCGTGCTGGCCTTTGGGTCCTCACCTTGGTTTTGTTGGTCGGTTTGGTTTTCCTTGGTGGTTTGTTCTTTTGATTTTTGTTGGTTTTCCTTTTTTCCCAGTCACAGCGGAATTTAACGCATTTTCCTGTCTGAGCGCAACCTGGTTTTGTCACGGCGGCATCAAGGCCGCAGCACTCACAAGACGGCAATATGTAAACCGGATTTAACTAACCTGTTGCTGTAGAGAGGATTTACTGTGTTGGAAAAAAAACAACAAACTAATAAAGACGTTAAGAACCTGCTGTGCTCTTTTCAATGCGCTGCAGGGAAACCGGTCTGAGCCCATCCTGGGCCTGCCTGCAGGGATCTGGCAGGCAGGGAGGACAAGGGCAAAACCTTGGCCACCAACCCCACCAGGGGCTGCACTGCTGGAAAAAGGGGATCAGGGTGCCCATGGAGGAGAGCCCAGGACCCCAGGGTGCACACGGAAGGGAGCCGTGGGGTGTTTTGGATTTGGGGCAGCCATAGGCAAAGTGCCCCTTATGTTGGGAGTGGATAGAGACTGGAAAGCTGCCAGTTGTGGCCCAACAAGGTTGGATCCAAGGGGTGCCCACTGGGGAAGGAAAGACCCATGGCTGCACAGCTCTCGGGATGAGCAGGGTCCTCGGGAGATCCAGCCTCCCTGTCCTCTTCCAGGCCTGCAGGCTCCCTGTTTGTCTCCCCATCAAGGTCTGAATGTTCCACGCCACAGCCCTTTCCAAGCGCATGAAGCCCTCCCTGTGAAGGATCCCCTCCCTGCACCCTAGCCCTCGTCTCTGCTCCAGTGTGTCAGTGTCTGCCTTGTACTGGGGCACTCCAGACTGGTCCCAGTCCCTGAAGAGGGTCCCAGAGCCAGGGCATGGAGGGAGAGTGACCATGTAGTCTACACGCATGGTTGCGTGGGGCGGGTGGAGAAGAGCCTGGACATGTGGGGAGAGAATGCAAACCGCCAAAGACTGAGCTGAGATGTGGGCAGGCAGCCTGGGAGCCTTTCTTGGCTGGTTTGGCTAGAGGGGTCTGCTGGTCTCCCTGCCTTCGGTTCTTCCTCTGTCCTGCTCCAGCCTTGAGGTGTCTCTCTTGCTGGCCCCTCTCTCCTTCTGCTTTAGTTTTGGGGGCCTCCCTCCTGCCCTGTCTCTGTCTTTCCCTCTTTCCAGCATTAGGCTCTCCTTCCTCTAGTCTTGGGATCTTCTCTGGCAGGGACATCTATTCGGGCCCCCCCTCTCTGCTGCCCCCCGTCCCCCCCCTCGGCCTGGGTAAGCCTCATCTGGGTGTGGGGGGGACTGGAATAGTTCTGGTGGGGCTGGGATGGGGTGTCACCTGCCTGGTTCTAGGACTGGAGACCATTGTTGTGGTGTCAGGGCAGCTGCAACTGGCATAGCTGAGCTGCTGGGAGCGGAGCAGCCGCGTGAGGACCCAAAGACCATAGAGGAGCAAAGACCTGCAGCTGCAGGATATGGGGAGGCCACAGCCACACTTGGGATGCTGGAGGGACAGCAAAGCCTCCCTTTGAGGTGTGGGGGGGCTCTAGCTGGGGGGGTAGGATGTTATTAATGAGGGGTTTGTGTTAAATAGCACCATTGCACTTAGATGCTGGCAGGATGGAGGGCTCCGAGGGTGCATGACAGAGGGGGCTGGATCCAGGGGAGACGCCCTGAGTCTCCTGCCACCCTCAGCAACAGTGCAGACACCTGAGCTGCTGGGTGCCACCTGGTCTAAAAAGGGAGGGGGCTCAGGTGGGACAGGATGCATCCTCCCTCTTCTTCCTCCCGCTATGAGGCTGGGTGATCCCAGGGCAGGACTGTAGCATCCCCGAGGCTGAGGGAGGGGAACTCCTGCTGCACAGCCCTGGCTGGTGCCGGGCTCTGTTCCCAGCCCCTCTGCCAGGCTGCCATGCAGACAGACTTCTCCTGACAACCCCCAGCCATGGGTACATACATGACCATCAGCTGTGCTGGAAGGGTCCCCGTTTTCCCAGCTGTCCCAGGGACCCTGATAACAAACATCTTGTTCAACCATCAGCTCCCCAAGGACCTGGTCCCAGCTCCCACATGCTTGGGGATGGGGGCAGTCAGGGGCCGCCATGCCTTGCCATCAGTCCCAGCCAGCCTGACCCCCCTGCCTTCCCTATCCCTCTCCTTGGGGAAGGGGAACCTTGAATTTCCCCCGGTCCCTTCCCTTGCTGCTCCTCTACCACGGGGCCACCCCACATTCCCACCCAGCTCCCCCGTGGATGCTGCAAGCCTGGGGCACCCCTATTCCTTGCTTTCCCCTGGCCCCCTGCAGGCCCTGTTCCCCTGGTACCACCTTGGAGCCCACCCGTGTAGTCCAGGCCTGCCCCAGGCACCTGTTGCCTGCCTCCCCCTGCCCTCCCTGTCCTGCTGCTGGGGCAGTCCTGCAGCTGGGCTCGCTGTGATGTGCACAGGGTCCAGCCATCAGCAGAAGCAGCAACTCTGCCAGGGTCCCCAAAGACATCCTGTGGGGATTGCTGATGGAGGTTACATCAACCACACAGGTTGAACCTCATCTTACATTCCCTTGGGACGGTCTCTTAACCGACTGCTCATGGTAGGTTTGAAATGTTCTGAATCATCTTTTTCAGGAACAAGTACGATGCAGAATACATCATCTATAGACACCTTCTCCATCATTTATTTATAAAGTGCTGGTTCTAGAAGGAGTTCTGCAAAGATCCACACTCCAAGTCAAGTGTTAATTGTTCTGTCTCTTACTTTCTCCTTCATTCTCATTGCTCCTTCTTGCAGACCCTCCCCTTCCTTGCAAAGAAGCCCCCTGAGGCTGTGGACTGACTGCATGGGTGGCAGCTTTGCTGACCAGGATGCTGGGGCTCTGGGACACAAAAGGCTGCATTGCCACGGGGAGCTCCTGTCCTTTGCTGTTGGTGGAGGGGGAGCACAGGTGAGAAGCTGAGGCTGGACACCTCACGTGAAGGCAGCTGCAATGAGCTCATTCAGCATTGGGTGGCTTTGCCGTCTGCTTCTAGCTGCCCCTGAAA